GAATTGTATTTATTTTATTAAGAGTCAAGTTGATTTAGTTTTATTGGTTCAGCTCGGGTAACTGAATGTCTAACAAAGACATGTATCAGAATATATGACATGAGATTAAGATAATAAGTGCTCATTGGATAAGAGATTAGATAGAAAATTTATTAAAAATTGTCATTATTATTCAATAGATGTTCCGATATTTATAGCTATGAATTTATAGAAAATATTTATATAAAATTTACCTGATAAAGAATATTTTAATACACTATATATTATCATGTAATGCATATTTTTAATTAAATTTTCTTCCGTTATTGTAGTGATAGTAATCCAGAACAAGATAATTAATAAATATGTAATGCAAAAGTAAATTTGTTATTATTATTATTATTATTATTGTTGTTGTTGTTGTTGTTGTTGTTATGGTTGTTATTGTTGTTGTTATTGTTGTTGTCGTTGAATGTAATAAATATTCTTATTAATTGTACGATTAGGGAGTATTGAAACGATGTAAATTAGGCAATATACCTTTAAATGAAAAAAAAAAAAATCTGTAATAGATAATGTCTAATTATTGTAATATAATGTTGGGTTAATGATAAAGAATAAATAATGTTTTAGAAAGTAAATTCAATTCGATAAAGTTCTAGTCTCATCGATATAAAATTGCACGTAACAACCGTTAAGGCTATTCAGCTAAATTTGAATATGTCGTTGATTCATATGGAAAGCAAGTATTTGCATGTAAACGACATGAATCTATTCAGCATACAGTGCCGATGACAGAAATTATAAAAATAGACAAAGATAGATTTTTGAGCTGATAATTTAAAAATTTTTTTTTATATAATCACAAGGTACTACACATACCATGTAAACTAAAACATAGACCATTGACGTATTTCATTAAAAATAAAATCGTCTACTTTGTATCCGTTAAAGCTCGTTTCGAAAAAACGTAAGTCAGAAAAAGGTCCATTCGCACCGTTCAATATACCGTACACACGGGTTCATTACGAATGCAAGTTGTTTCGTCACGTGTACTTTCAAGAGATGCTTATCGTCGTGACGGAGTGTTGGAAACACGAAAAAAATTCGTAAATGCAAGGGAAAAGGAAAAAATGCACTGCGATAGCGCACTAAGTCGCTCTCCGTCGCCTAATCTCATAGAAATTATGGAAAAGTTAAAGAAATGGCGATAGCATGTGAAGGATGGTAGGAATAAGGAGAGAGAGAGAGAGAGAGAGAGAGAGAGAGAGAGAGAGAGAGAGAGAGGTCCAATAGAAACAAATGGATTTATAGACAGAGAGATAGGGTTCGATGGATGATTGAGGATGGGGGTGGGGATGGGGTGGGATCGCGTGAGCCATCCTTATAGTCCGTTGTCATTACCGCAGCTGTCAATGTCATTTGCGTCAGTGCTTGGCTGTCGTCGCTATTGCTGCCGTCGTCATCCTGCTCGTCATCCTTATCCTCATCCTCGTCGTCGCTTTTATCACTATCGCGACCGCAACCTCGGAACGCATCCGCGTACGCGCCGGTGTAAAAAGCCGAGGTCGCTTTCATCGCAGGTAGATACGGTAGCCGCACAGTCGAGACATTGTCGCTACTTTTGCCGTGGCGCATACGCGCTCTCGCGCTATCCAAAAGACGATCGCCGCGAGTGAAAGAGCCGCGACCCCGAGTACGAGAGAGGAAACAGGTGCGAACGTACACTTGACGGGAATACGAAGCGCGCCTCCATTGTTGCTACCAGGCTTAAACAGGCCTGCTTTCTGGGAATTGGCCATTCCGAACCTTAACTCGACTGGCTTTCAAGGTCGAGCCGCCGAAGACATTATGGAGAAGAAAATGATGCCGCAGAAAAATCGCTCAATGCCAAGCTCTATCGTTTACATCTCTTAATAATATATACCTAGATATACCTATATATATATATATATATATATATATATATATATATATATATATATATATATATATATAATCTCAAAAAACAAAGAGTTTTTTATATAATCGCCAAAAGCCTAGAGCATTTAGCTGGTTAGATAAAAACTTTTATAATGCTTGAACGATTCATTAATTCTGTAGCGTAAAACATACTTTTTCATTCTACGTATAATGATATTATATTATAATATATATATATATATATATATATATATATAATATCTGCTTATTGATATTGCAACAACTTAACGAGTTTATAAAAATCATGCACTTAAAAATAAAATTCATCTTTAGTCCGACCAATGTCTTAACTATTATATTCTTACAAACACACGCTCGTAACACAGCATACTTACTTGCACGAATGATTATTTAATGCAATATCACATGTATATCCGATATTACTCTCTCGCTTTTCGCTTTATACGTTACATAAAACGTTGCATCAATGGTTATCATAAATCATATTTTTATTTATTATTATCAAAAAATTATAAATAATTAAGTATTATATTTTCCTTATATCACTTAAAAATGACGTTTACAATTTTGCTATGTTTTTAAAGTAAAATATAAAATGTAAAATAGATCTAGAGAGGCAATGGATTATTTTATGAGGAAATTTGTATTTCAGTAAAGCGAAAACAGGAGTATTAAAATTAAAATGTTTATTGTCAATAAAACCACCATAATCTCGTTAATATAAAACTGCTTATTTGAATTTGTACATCGATGGTTATGATGATCAAAATTATGAGCATAAGTACAATAAAAGTTAAATTAATTACCCTGTTTTATACTTATTATAAACGAATGATTTTTATTATAAAAGTATACCGATATATATTACTTATTCGAGTGATTGTCTAATGTATAATTAATTATGTTCCTAAGATTAAATGTCGTAACATTAAAATTTTACACAATAATTATATAAAATAAGTTTTTCTACGCTAAATGCATTTAAATATGCGAGTACTAATACATTTATTAATCGACGTGTGTGTGTGTGCGCGCGCGCGCGCGCGTGTGTGTGTAAGAGAAAAAGTATAAAATAATATAAGTCGTCTAGTGACTTAGTATAAATGCATAAGCTTATCAACACTTCTTTTTCATGCAAAAAAACAAAAACAAAAACAAAAAAAACATAAAAAAAAACAAACAAAAAAAACGAAAGAAAGAAAGAAAATGCAAATGTAATGGAGATGAACTTGTAGTGACTAACACATAAAACACGAATATCATAAAAATACCAATGTTTAACTGAAGTAAAGTTCTATATAATTGAAATTTTGTTCGTACTACAGATTGGAATAAATAAACAGTAATATTGAGCAGCTAGTTATAAATTTTTATATAAATACAATAAATCAAATGCTATAAATAAAAAATCAAAGGCCATTTGTATTTCTTATACTGGATATCACTTTATTCGCTTAAAAAAAAAAATCACACGAGCTGATTAAAATTCAAATTTATCGAGTTCTTTCTTTAACTTTTCTTTCCATTCGAATTTCTTCGTGAGAAGTAAAATTTCCAGTGACAAATGTCAAGTGACTAGGATTATTCGTAAAATAAGCCAGTGAATCGACGTTGAAGGCTAAACGTATTTATTCCTCGATCGCGGCATTTAAAAGACGTCCGAATTCGCAGATCCCAAGAAGCAAAAGCGCACTAAGGATCGGGCAAAAATGCGGCGCTCGCGCGTTATCAAGAGCCGACGAGCGTCTGCGGCGAGATGCAATCCATTATCCCTCTTCGCCGTCCGTACAAGTGGTAATGAGACTTGTTACAGCCGTGTGCGCCCGGTTGCAACGACCGCAAACCGCAAAATCGAAGCTCTGGTAGGTCGGTATGAGGAAATATTCCCTCGGTCGCGCCG